GTGCGGATAGTAGACTTTCGCTGTGCGGATAGTAAACCATTTGCCGTCCGGAAGCCGTGCGGGTAGTAGACTATGGCCATGCCGCATAGTAAATCATTACCGTGCAGATAGTAAACCATTGCCATCCGGATAGTAAACCATTGCCGGTTCACCACTGGCCACCAAGGCTTACCTCTGACAACGGACTTTGAAATTCAGAGTCTATCGGCTATCGTACCCTCAACTTACCTATTCATTACAATTAAGCCCTAGCTTACCTAAAATTACAAAACTCAAGAGCCCAATTCATTGGCCTTTCAGCACCCACCCCACCACCTACGTAATGCCTTGGGTTCCGAAATAATAATAATAATATAAAACATATAACAAACTTACCTATCGATACACATACAGCGTTTTAATTTACATTACAAGATTGTTCCTAGAATTACATTATTGCCCTTAACTACTTATGAAATTAAATTACTCTCAACCTTAGTAATAATAAATTAGAATGTGTATTGAAAATAAAATTACGCTCAAATACTAATATATGTGTTTATGTATGTGTTTGTGTGTGTGTGTGTGTGTGTGTGTGTGATACGCTAATGCGTGTAATGTAGATGCAAGAAAAAACAGAAGCGATAAACTTACGGCGCCTACCTATTCAACTACATTAGTGTTGGATGCTTCCTATCTATCCTACCTACAATTAAAATTATGCCTATCTAACCTACCTATATAACTACTTAATGTAATTGTGTGTGTGTATGTGCGTGTAAGCATTCGTACTTATTTTTAAATTACAGAGAAGAAAGAATAAAACGTATCCCAGCCAGGCGTGTATTCTTTGTCTCTGAATGAATGAACGTAGCCTGACATCTTCCATGATGAACTTCTCTGGAAGCTTCAGCCTGAATGAAATGAAAAAATCTTATATATTTAATTAATTAAAATGAAAATAGAGAAACGCAAAAAAGCCGACCGGTCGGCAAAGAAAAGAACCTCAAAGAAAGGTATCTATATAGGATTTATGCTCTATAAAACTCTATAAAACTCTATAAAACTCTATAAAACTCTATAAAACTCTATAAAACTCTATAAAACTCTATAAAACTCTATAAAACTCTATAAAACTCTATAAAACTTTATATAACCATACATACCACCACATTCAATCAATAAAAATCTCACTAAAACCAGGTACCACCGCGTACCTGTTATTTGTATGATGTGAAACAAATAAAAAAAAACAAAGCAAAAAACACACCACCAAGTAGAGTAAAAGAATAGAAGTCCCTAACCTACCTATGTAACTAAATTACCTTATGCCCTAGCCTACCTATATAATAAATTAATTTTTACCTCACCTACCTATGTTTCATTAACTTAACTTAAGACTCATGAAGAAAGAGAAAAAGGAGTAAAACAGAACATAAAATACTACCACACAACCAAACATGACGTATGTATGTATGAGCAACCGCTAAAGAACCCACCTAAAATATAAAAAAATACAACATACAATCACACAAACCACAGGCATGCAAACTCTATATAACTCTATATAACTCTATATAATAAAATAAATAAAAATAAAAAAAAATAAATGAGATCAGGCATTTCTCAGCTCCTATTTATACTCGTTTCAACCATACACTTTCACCATTTCAATCATTCACATCAGTAAAAAACTTATTTAATGTATGTACTACAGTATTATACAGTCTTAACCACAATGCCAACAGTACTAAATTGACGTCATCGAACGAACGCCTTCGAAATTTTCTGATTGGCTGGTTGAATCTGCTATATTGCTTTTTATATAAAACATATAATCTTATTAATTATTTGTATACATGAATTCTAGTTACTTTATATATATATATATATATATATATATATAAATTCATTATAATTGCAACAGTAATCAATGCTACATATGTACGCCGCAGTTCAAATTTTTCTGTGAGAATTCAAAATAGTTTGAGATTACACCTTGCTTAACATCCGATTCCAAGCCTAGCCGAGCTAAGCTGAGCCATTATGCATAGATTTATAAGCGCTTTTATAATAAAATTATGCTCGCTTTATATATATAGTATATAAATTCCTTATAAACGAAACAGTCGTAATCAGTGCTACATATGTGCGCAAATTTTTCTGTGAGAATTCCAAATAGTTTAAGACCACACCTTGCTTAACATCCAATTCCAAGCCGAGTCGAGCCAAGCTGAGCCAATATGCATAGAGTTATAAGCGCTTTTATATTAAAATTTTGCTCGCCTTATATAGACTATATAGTATATAAATTCATTATCAACGCAACAGTAATCAGTGCTACATATGTGCGCACGCAGTTCAAATTTTTCTGCAAGAATTCCAAATAGTTTGAGACCACACCTTGCTTAACATCCAATTCCAAGCTAGCCGAGTCAAGCTGAGCTAATATGCATAGATTTATAAGCGCTTTTATATTAAAATTTTGCTCGCTTTGTATATATATAGTATATAAATTCATTATAAACGCAACAGTAATTAGTGCTACATATGTGCACACGCAGTTCAAATATATAATTTATTATAAATTTTATTTGATGTTTTTTAATTAGTCAGGTCACAATCATCATCATCATCGATATCGCAATGAAATCAAATTGAGAATTTTTTATATTAAAAAAAAGTATCTTTATTTATTTTATGATACTACTTTGTTCAATAAGATACTGTTTGATACATATAACTAGAATAAATATAACGGCCTTCGCTCACAAGGAGCTCACTTCTGGAGGGGAGATGGAGGGTGAGGTTCGAGTCAAAAGTTACGATAGTATATTTACTAATTACGGAATATTTCTTTTATTTAAAATGTTAAAATTTTATTTTTTTAAATTGTTATTCAATATGGTAATTAATTACTTTTATTTGGTATAAATTTAAACAAATAAAATCGACATTACCGAAAATAATTAAAAGTTGCAAAAATTGAGATTCTTGGCATATCCCTGCTTCAACCCATAAGAAAGTGTTGTTTAATGGTAAATATGCCTCCCCTTGCATCTATCGATTTCTTTATTTAGTTCTGCCTGCGTATGATATTTTGTCAAATTTATTTGATAGAAATTGAATATAACCTTTGTACCGGCTAATTAAGTACCATGCAGTAAAATAACTACTGTTAACATGACGTCATTTCCCCCCAACGATTTCGCAACGAATTACCCATACTATTTAGTAAATTTTATTTGATGTTTTTTAATTAGTCAGGTCACAATCATCATCATCGATATCGCAATGAAATCAAGTCGAGAATTTTTTAAATTTTAGAAAAAAGTATCTTCATCATTTTATGATACTACTTTATTCAATAAGATACTGTTTGATACATATAACTAGAATAAATATAACGGCCTTCGCTCACTTTCAACGGTCGAACAAGGAGCTTACTTTCGGAGGGGAGTTGGAGGGTGATTTTTTATCGTTCGAGTCAAAAGTTACGATCGTATATTTACTAATTACGAAATATTGCTTTTATTTAAAATGTTAAAATTGTAATTTTTTCAATTGTTTTTCAATGTGGTAATTAATTACTTTTATTTGGTATGAATTTAAAAAAAGTAAAATCTACATTACCGAAAATAATTATAAGTTGAAAAAATTGAGATTCTTTGCTTATCCATGCTTCAGCCCATAAGAAAGTGTTGTATATTGGTAAATAGGCCTCCCCTTGGTTAATAGGTTAAAATTTAGTAGCAAGGTTTTTGAGATGTTAAGAGGCTAAAAGGTTGTATACACTATTCCAAAGTTTAGATAAATCAACAACACACAGCCTATAAGATGAAATTAGGAATGCGTGTTAAACGACTCTAAACACAACAAGCATTTAATAAATTATAAAATGATTGTTTCCCAAATTACCATGACAAATTTCAGATTATATTAATAGCACACTGTGGGCAAATTAAAAAAAACTATCCTTCAAAATTGTTCTGGTTACATTCTGTTCTGTTTCATTGGTTTCCGGGTTTATTCTAGTTATGTGGGTTATATATAAAAACCAGGTTGAAACAATTGAATTTGAATGACTGTCAAAACATTGGAAGTGGAAATAAACATGTAGCCTACTCAATAGTATAAGAAAGATACGAGTGGAACCTCGTGACGAGAACTGCAATGGTGGTAGACTTGGAATATCAAGTGCAGTTTTGCGATTGATGTTAATACGAGAGTGTCATTAGAAGCATCAACATGTCTTCCAATGATTTAGATGACTGGTTTTGACATTTAAATAACAACGGTTTACACGTGATCAAGAACATGGCCATTAAATCCCAGCAAACTAACTTTGTTTTTTGTTTCAGAAAAAGGTGCTGCAACAAGTTTAAACCAATTTTAACGTCTAATAAAATCAATCCAGATTTATATCAAATACTTATTCTCTTTTAAAAGATTCATCATCAGTTTACCTACTTACCTGCTGATATCCTTTTAATGTTAAAGTTTCCAAATTGAGAAACACACAACAAAAAGTTGATCATACCCCCACGCATTACAGTAAAGTTTCAGTTGAGATTGGTGAAGCTTTGATGTTTTTTTTCAAAAACTCAAATAATCTTTGTGGTTGAAAGCTATTTCATTAAATTTTTAAGGTTGAATATACATAAAATTGATCAAATTATTTGGTATCCTGTATATACAACCTTTCGGTTCTCAACCGACCATACCTACAACACTCATATGCCATCGAAGTTCAACATGGCTACACTTCAAATTTCAAGCACAAATAATTTTTCGAATTTTTTAAATGAAACTCTCAAAAAGATGAGGATGAGCCAAAATGGCGGCTATTTTAATTTATTATAATTTGATTCTCATTAATTATTTTATTATCGTTGTTTATCTCGTTTATTAAGATTAGTCAGAAAATTGAGAAGTTTTCAAGAAGATAAGAGTCCCACTTGTTTCTTCTTGTCCAATTAATTTATCACCATATAACATTTTTATCTACGCTAAAAAATAACTCAAGTATCATCACATTTTTATTTATTAGATGTTCCACAAAGCTATCCCATTATAGTTTACAAATTGCATAATATATTTTGAAAAAAAGAAAATAAAAGAACGAAAAATAATAACCGAAAATGCAAAACGAAAATATGCATTAAATAAAAAATTAAGCCTGTCATGTTAAAATTTGGTACATTGCGTACGTGTGTGTTTATCAGTTCAAGCCTGTGTATGAAATGGACAACAGTCCACCTCATTGTGTGTGTTTGTGTTGTGGTGTTGATATGTTGGTGTTTATATTTTCGTTTGCGCCTGGTTTTGTGAAAGTAGAAGTTGAGAAGGATGTATGAGAGATGATATCTTAAAGCTTCGAGTTGCTGTCATCGTAGCCTACCAAGGATACGGAGAACAAAGACAAGGCAGGAGCTGATCTTGGAGGATCCGATCTTACTACTTCGCCATCGTTTAAAAATGAAAACTGCCCTTGAGTGATGAGAGATGCATTTCTGTTGAATTTTTTATGTTTTTCATTTTCATTGTCGATAACGGTCGAATCGACGGAGAGCATAGTTTCGCCGTTCACACTGTAGACTCGTTGTCTTTGTTTATTTTTTTCCTTGAAACGACCTGAACGCGAAACATGAAGTCCTCGACTGTTTACAAGTTTTGAGTTGATTTCATGGAGCTGACATTCGTCGTCTATCGATGTTGGTGCCGGTTTGCTGGAGTTGTTGGACGTGGATGGGTTCTGTCGTTTCTGGTGATTTTGTGTGGAAAGTTTTGTCATTGCTGCCGTTGTTGATGGTTGATCTTGCGAGGGTGGGAGGTCCGATTTTGTGGGGTCGTTGAACGTTGGGATGCCGGCCGAGGTGTTGTTTTTAAGTCGCAGGGTGCTGAAGATGTCTGACAAGCTGGTCGTCTTGAAGAGTTTTAACTTCTTCTGTGAAACTGACATGCTTGCTTTCTTCCTCTGTGGATGAAAACATTTTGTGCTAATATTACAGTCCCATCCGTATATATAACAAAAACATAATAAATAAACTTACTATACAAATACATACTTTCTAATTCAATTGCATAAAAAACCAGTCTTAAAAATCATAAATTTTTTGAAACTATTGTTTTATCTATGAAAAATCGTTTTCTAGATTTCACTTTTATTCGCAATTCAAATTAAATAGTCTCAAAATTGCTAAACTGACCATTAATTACAAATTTTAGTGACTAGATCTGCAAAGGTTAAAACAAGCACTTAATATTATATCAAATAAAGCAACAAATCTTGCCTACATTCTTATTACTTCATCATTTCGTTTGAAACATTTTTCAGATAAAGATGTCCTTCCTTACTCTGGTTATTATCATTATCTTAACAATTTTATTCCAATATCTCGTACTACTCTTCAATTTCTTACAAATCTTTAGGCGGTTTTCGGAAACGTACCAATTCATAAAGTTTATAAAGAAGCGATTTTAAACGCTTCATAAATTGCGCTATTTGTGATTGGTTTTTTGAACATCTGATATTTTACAAAGAAAATTATTATACATGACGACATGGCAATAAATAGTAAATATGGTCTGATCTACTTTATTTAAAATTAGGCTGTTAAGAATAAATATAATCGCTTAGCGAACATCTTATCGTTATGAATTGTCAACTCGCAATTGAACGCATGGGCGTTAATTGAAGTTTTCAGAATAATTAATAAATGGTTTTAACTTTCGTATATTTTTGTAAAATTTTTATGAAGAAAAACAAACTACTAAAGAGATGTACGTTCTTAGCAACGAGGCTTAATTAAAGAAAAATATTTTAATAGAGATTTATATCATAAAAAGAAAAATATTTGAAATTATTATTATGCATAAAAAATATTTCACTATTTTTACATATAATAATTTTGGAATTTATGAATAATAAAATGCCACTACATTTTTTTTCATTATTATTTAAAAATTAGAATACAAACAATACAAACCTTTACACGAAACCAGTTCAGTTGTATGAAATTCAAAGGTTTAAAAACCTGTCTGCTACCGTTTAATTAAAATTTACCCAAAACAGTTTATAAAAAAAATTAAAAAACTGTTCAAAATAACACTCGCACTATATGTAATAATGTTAAACAATAGTAATATAATATAATATAATGCAGATTATTGCAAAATTATTTTTCAGCTAGATGTTAATTTATTTAGATGATGTAGATAAGTAACGATTTCAACCTATCAACTTATTAATAACAGAAGCAACAATGATAACATAACACACTACCTTCTATTATATTGATATTTACCGCAATTCATTAAAAACTATTAATATTTAAATAAAAAATATATTTAACAAAAAACTAATTTTAAATAAACAAATAAAATAATATCTGGTCACTTAATGTATCACGTCAAACTGTCAACCAGCCAATTAATAAGACATACAACAACGAACGAACGACAAACACTAAAGCGATAGAACTTATTAAGGTATGAACCGTTCAAAATCAAAGCACTTTTCGAGAACAAGGTACCGTGTGCGAATCTTATGGATTTAGATAATCTTTCATTATTTAAAGGGCTTTAACGCACATATCTGCACATATCTGTATATCTTATATATATACAGTATATATATATAAGTATGAATAACAAGCCTATATCACTATTATAGCTATTATTTAGCTAGTTAGTTGGTTTTGAAAAGACAAAAATATTATTAGTTAATATGTTGTCGATCTGTGAGTATAGATTTGTAATATATAAATTTAATTCTTATGCATCATATATTTGTCATTATATATATATATATATATATATATAATCTTATGTATGTTATATATATATATGTGTGTGTATAATATATATTTTTGAATTTTTGAATTAATCAAATTTATTTATAAGCAAAAAAGAATCAGTCGCAAACGAAAAACTGCATTTCAATGTATTTTTAGCTAATGCATGTGTAATTACATAAATAGCATTTGCAAATGCATGTACACAAGTTTTTAACGTTTTAGCCATTACTCATCCAGTATTCAATCGTGTTATATATGCGTTATTTCTTTGTGAACCCTGGTTCACAAAGAACCAGGGATTGAAGGATTGAAGGAAGATTTGAGTACAAGGGATTATGTAAGATTATCATCTGTCTTAGATATGTATGATCATATGTCTTGGTTTTTCTACTGCTGAATGTGGTGCAGCTGATGGTTTTTTGTCTGCGAGGTGGTAACGTATGTGATGTTAATTTGTTTCATGTCATTTTTAAATGTAATATCTTACATGTTGTTTTATATTTTGATTGCTTAGCAATCTCACGTTTTAGATCTATTTTAATGTTTATTAAGTGTTAATCATTGTTAATTATAATAAATTAAATATTTCTATTTTTCAAACTTAAAACTTATCTTCTTCAATGTAACATGAAATAGAAGAGACAGAACAATAGCAAAGAAATGATATCTTATCAATTGAACAACCAAGCGTTTTTTTTTATTTGAAGAGCATTTGATAATATTGCTTGCTACTATTGCTACTTCTTGTTTCTTTGCTAAAAATTAGCTATCACCACTTAGCGCTGCTTACAATTTTGTATGTATGTATTTATTATTAGCATACACATGTTGTTTGAGTGTATATGTATTGTATATTGTAATTGCATGCATGTTTTGTTGCTTGAATGTTTGTTTCATTACAGTTGTTGTTCTTGCTGCGTTGTTATGCGGTTTTGTTATCTAGTTACCATGGTAATGTTTGTTGAGGTGCTGCTAATGGCCGCATTATTGATTCACACACACACATACATATACTCACACACACAAGCACGCACAAAGGAAACCACACACATGTATATATATATATATATATGTACGTTTTATCATAAAATGATTTTTTTTTTATTTCGAATAATTGAATTGAAAGTATATATATATATATATATATATATATGTATATATATATATATATATATATATAGATATAAATTATTCGATGTGACTAAAGCGTTTTTCAGATACCGTTAATTTTCTTTTGTTGATATGCGTATGCGTAGTAACTCTATTATAACGTAAATTAATAAGTTAAGCAGAAATGATATTTCACCGGATGTCATGCCATGCCAACTCAATTCATTCATACTTAATTCAACTTAAACTAAAGTTCGTACCTAGGCTAGTGTAAGAGCAGTACTGAGTTAGGAGCGTTAGTTAATAATTAGTAAATTATCAATACATCATCAATATTTAGATAGATTATCGATATATATCTCGAAATAAAGATCACTGATATATATCTCGAGATATGTATCATTGTCTGTATGTCTCAATGTCTTTATCATTGCGCTGCATCTTTGTGTTTCTGTAGCGTCAGTAATATTTTATCAAATGATTGAAATGTTATTATCGATTGACCCTTTTCGAATACAAACGAATTTCCGGTGTTCATTAAATTAAGTATTTTGTTTCAGGCGTACGGCCTTTATGGTGCGTGTGTGTTTGTTGGTGTTTGTGTGTATGTTTGTGTGCTGGATTTGTGTTTGTGTAATTGTGTGTTTGTGTGAGTGTGTGTTTGGTTTGTGTCTGTGTGTGCAAAGTTTGCGTGGGATGCTTTTCAAAATAGTGAAAGTTATATCGAGAACAAGATTACGTTTTGTGAATTACCGAAAAAATTTTATTAATATGTCTATGTTTAAATTTCAGAATGAGAATATTTAATGTGAAGCATTATTAACCATTTAAATGAAAATTATTTCTAAGAGTCAGACGCATAATTCAGTGATTCAGGAGTCTATTTAAATCTTGAAAGACATTACAATACAATACAACACAACACGAACATAGTCACAACTTAAAATGTACATTAAGTTAAGTTACATAACAATGATGCTAGCCTCAGCTTAACAATGACGATCTCATATCGTATCTTCTCTACACGGTGTGTACCTTATTCTGTAAGGTAAGGAGTATTGCTTTAAATTATAAAAATTATTACACAAAAATGTATGTACTTGTTTCAATAAGTACCATTTGCGGCAAGTACTTGAAGCTTTTCTTCCCAAGACCGAAAATTTATTTCCTAATTTTGGTTATATTAACTATTTTTATATTTTCATTAACAAAAGAGCGTAGAAGCGAGACAGTCATGTTGTAAAATTTCAGAAGAGAAGTATAACAGTGAGATATTAGAGGGTTAGGTCTTAGGTGTGTTTTATTTTTGTGATAATTTAGAGAGCTCATTCATTTTATTTCTACCTTTACAATCCTTTAGAATTTGACATCATACACAGCTGAATTTTATGTATTGGTAAAATGTTTACTTTGGATGAAACACTGATGCAAAGTTGCCAACCAGGTTGAATGTGTTATGTGTAGCCACTAATTGAATTGGATCATACCTAGTTTCTACTTGATGAGCTGAAGAGAGTAGATACGTTTCGCAACATTTATGGAAGCACAATAAGATTTTGTCTAGGATTAAACGTTTTATAAATTTGCACTTATTAATTGCAGCATGAATGTGCGTACGTGCATGTTTTGATTAATAATGTTTTTCTGAATACGTGATTGCATGTTTGCATGTAGTTATGTGTTGTGTTCTATGTGTTGTGTGCGTGCATTTGTGTGTGTGTATGTGTGTGTACGTGCAGCTGTATTTACGACTCTGTGTGTCTGTGTATTAGTGTGTCTGTCTGCTTGTGTGTCTTGTCTCGAGAACTTGATAGGCCGAGGAGAGTAGATATGATTTTGAGAACTACTTGAAAGAGATTAATAACAAACAATACAAACTTCATACTCTTCGCTAAATTTTTTCGGCAAAGAAAGATAAAAAATTGAGATATAATACTTTTGTATTATTTTATTTTTTACTACACAATCAAATTTCTATAAATAAAACAAAAGTTACATTAATTAAATCGCGAGAATTGAGATAATCACCTGAGCGGTCTGATTGCTTATGTGTGTTATCGTTCTTATAGGGGGCCTTTCGTGGAGGCCCTTAGGCTGTAACCTCCTCTGCTGTGTTTGAAATCCGGCCCTGAATACTATCGCCATTGAGAAATACATTGAAAATGAAAAATCGTCATCAGTCAGAAACACAACATGGAGATGTGGTGTGGTGTGGTTTGGTGCACATTGGAATGGTCTCTCTGACGACGGAACTTTATTTGCTCCAAATGTTGTCTTTGCAAACAGAGATTACGTGAATGTGTTTGCACGAGTTTGTTTTTATGCGTTTGTGTGTGTGTGTTTGTGTGTTTATAAATCTTTCCTTATAATTATATTTAAGTATGTGTGTATTTGTTTTTGTTTGTATTTGTGCTTAGTTTCAAGTACACATTCATTATTTATTTTCGATTGTTAAGTTTTATTTGACAAATGTTACGAAAACAATAAGCATTAATTAAATAAAATTGTAGACTTTTTACGTTTTCCTTAGTTAATACATCTTAATCCTTCTATAAAATTTTTTATCAATTTATATTAGCCATCTGTACTACACTGTAAAATAACTATCCTAAGTACTCTAACGATTCAGATAAACCTATTCCATTATCATCACCATCATAATCTTTATTATCATCACCAGCATCACTATCATAATCATCACCATCATCACCATCATCATCATCACCACCATCATCATCATCGGTGTTACGACGACTCACTATTTAAACTTTAAAAGCCATGCCTGGCATTAAAGTGTTCTGCAGTTGTTGTTGTTGATGTTGTTATTGATGCTGTGGCCATTATGGACGTTGTTTATGTTGATGTTGTTGTTGATGTTGTTGTTGTTGTTGTTGATGATGATGCTGTTGGTGATTGTTGATTGACGTTTGTTGCAACATACGATTGTTGTCTTATTATTGGTCGGCACCGTCATGCTTATCTAGGTGCAAACTTTGTATGTATATATATATATATATATATATATATATATATATATATATATATATATATATATAGAGAGAGAGAGAGAGAGAGAGAGAGAGAGAGAAAGAAAGAGAGAAAGAGAATAATATGTTGTATATATATATATATATTTATTTATATTATATTATATTATTTATATATATATACATATATATATATTTATAACTTTAAATGTAAGATGCTAAAAATATGATTGAGATTATGATATGATGCACGATGTTAACTTTTATTTGCTGTAATTTTTAAATTTGGATGAGTAATAAAATTTGAAAAATAATAATAATTAATAATAGTAATAATAAGTAATTTGATGTAAAAATTTTATTTTTATTACTTAGTTTATTTGTTAAGCGTGTGCACTACTCTTTAGACTCGTTGAATGATTCATTTTCCATACAACATTTATCTAAGGGCAATAAAAATACATACACACATACATATAAATATATTTAGAGATGTTACAAGGAGATATGAGTAAACCATTAAACAAATATATTAATAAACTGTTTACAATGAAACCACGGGGGGCAAACTCCAGCCCGCGAAAAAGGAGCCAAAAATCTTAAAAAATCTACCCCGCAGCCCACGAAAAAGGAGCCACAAATCTTAAAAAATCTACCCCTGTTTGAAAAAATTATCTATTTAAGAACATTATGCGGCCCTCCAAAGGTAAAATTAATCTCAATGCGGCCCTCACAGCAAAAAGTTTTCCAACCCCTGAATTAAACGATTGAAGTAATGAAATACAATGAATAAAAAACTGAATAACGTATTGTTGAAAGAGTGTTTGAGCGAACAATGAATGAATAAAAGTTTTATTCTTATTATTAAAATGTCTTATAATTTTGATGAGGTTGATGATTAATGTACTTGTTCGGCGAGTTAGCGTACTATATATAGAAAGAGAGAGAGAGAGAGAGAGAGAGAGAGAGGGAGAGAGAGAATGTGTGTATGAGTGTGTCAGAATGTGTGTGTGAGGGTCTGTGTGTTAATGTCATGAGTTGATGTTGTTATATTTTATAATCAAAACTTCTATCGAAGTCGTGCTGATAGAGAAGACAGTCTTTAAGAATTAATAATTTGAATGACAATTGAGCTGAGACATTTCTCCTTATCTTGATGTTCTTTTTGGTGTTGTTGCTGTCGCATTGACGTTATTTTTGTTTTTTATTTTATTTTTGTTGTTGTTTTAATGCTATGTTGTTATTTTAATACTATGTTGATATTATCAGTTTGTTGTTGATGCAATCGTCAAATTTAATGCTTTCGATCTTTTCATGGGTAAGTAACTATGAACTCTATATACATTTATTTAATGGTATTTAAATAAAAAATTTTATTCTTCATTTTATGAGCATTTGACATGCAAGCGTACAGTTTAAACGAATGTATGCATACTAATGTACTGGTGTCATCAACAACAGACTCTACGTCATTGTTGTGTTGCTATCTGTTGTGTTTGCTCTGTGTATAATTTATGTGCATACAGATATGAGTGTTTTGTATACAACTTACATACAAATAGTGATAATGATGATGAAGAGGAAGGTGAAGATTGGATGGCACACGTGTACAATAGCACAAGCGTACGCGTCATTAAAGCAGTGTACAATGACGTATTCGATGTGGCGTACAAACACTACTGTCTGCGCGTGTGTACGTTTTTGTCAATTGGTTGTACAGCAGTGAAGTAAAAAAGAGCTTTGTACAAAATTATTAATCAATAAGATAATTCATTCTCTCTCTCTCTTTCTCTTTCTATCTCTCTCAACAACAACACTAACGACGTTAACAGAACACATCTAACTACTACGCAGAAACGTGACTTGACATGAAGACATTTGGGTAACTGCCAGACCATTCAATGAAGACAACTGCGGATGTATACAACCCAGAGAATTATAGGCTTGTAACAGGCCTGTGCTTACCCCATCAAAGAATAACAATGTGTAAGACAACACAAGACACACATACATACACACACACACACACAAATGTGTGTGTGTGTGGTGTGTGTACAAATTTTGTTTAGCCGGATTCTATTTAGCCGGGCAAAATGCACGGACCTACGCAAATTTATACAGTGTAATTAATGTACCCCCAACTCGTTTGAAAAATTTAAATACCTTTATAATTTTATTGACTTCATAATAAGAATCCGTTAAAATTTGGTGACAACTCACAGTAAAATTTGATCGTCAGTATAGAGTTCTAACAAATCGGTTGTATATATAAGAAGATTGCATCATAATATTGGTAGAATATTGTATGTTGCATATATCGTCATCTGAATTTAAAATATTCCTATAATAATACTGAATTTTGTGATATAACCACGAAAGTCATGAAATTAATTAATTCAATTTTCAGAAAATGTTGACATACCGTTTTAGAAAATATTAATTTTAATAAAAAACGACAAAATATAACAGAAAAGCTCTAGAAATCATCAATTGAATGTAGCAACTTTATAATAACGTCACTGTGGGTGTGTTAGAATCTTTTACAAAATGTGAAAAAACATTATATGCAGGTACGTCAAATGATTTTGTTACATGTGTAAAGAAGAATCTTATTCAGAAATCTCAAATTGATTTGAAGATATTTTTTTAGACTCTTAAATAATCCCACGATAACGAAAACGCATATAAATTCATACGAAACACATACACGTAAGTAATATGCTTGTAAAATCTTAAATATATCTAGGAATATTTGCAAATAAGTGAATGGATGGATGAATAAATGAGTCAAAATCAGATGTAAAACAAATCTAAGGCAGTTACGTCTATAACGACTTTAAAATTTAAAATCAGGAATATTTGGTGGAGTTTGGGGTGAATTTTCTCCTCTCTTACAAGCCCTTGTTGAAATAAAGATGCGACGGTAGAGGCAGTCCATTCCGCTGGCACATCTCAACCGCCTTCTTGTATTTTTCTGGCTCATATTTCTCAAGAGCTTTCAAGGAAATCGTACTGGAAAATTGTTGTTTAACTTTTGTTCGTTTGTTTTGTTTGTTTGTTGGTTCATATATTTATTTATTCCTCATATTTTAAGAATTAAGCTTTCAATTCAAACTTAATCAATGAAATTTGATCACGAAATTTAAGTTAATTAACTTTTAAAAAATAATTATTCTGGAAAAAATGTGACAACAAAATAAAAAATATGAAAATCGGTTAACGAACTTATTCTGTGGAAACATGCCGCAGGCCACTGGAACCATGAAAACGAGACTGTCGGTTAACAGAAAAAAAATATTCTCATGCACTGAATCACTTTCGAATCAATATAGAACCAAAACAGGACATTTCATATTGTTAAAGTTTACAACAAAACATATGAAAGTGCAAAATAAAAATTGGCAAACAATTCAGAGAAAGAAAGCTAACAAGCAGCCAATCATGAAAGTCTGGAATAGAAGATGGTATCTCTGATATTTCATGAAGCTTGCTTTCTTTTCGAGGTGGTTCATTATAACTGGCATGATCACTGTAACATGGGGTTGATCAAAATGAGTTCACGTTTAAAACGTAATTAATAGTGATCGATTTAGATTTAGAGCTTAATTTTTATTAATCTCTCATAATTAACTGTTTGGATAATTTGAAAACATTTATTAACTATTTATTTAGTTAGATAAATTAATTGGTTAAGTGTTTATATGATCTAAAATGTTAATTCAATGAATTACATAAATTTACAGAAAGGATTAAATTCTTAAAATTAAAGTTTAGGATTTTAGCTGAAACAGAAGCGACATACACATTCCTGGGGCAGCCATTGTGACTCTGGAGATGGCTACCAAGGCAATACCTTTAACTGCAGCAAGCTGAATCACATTAAATGAAACACTGTATTCATTTCTATACGATACGATACATGTTTATACGATACGATACGATTTATACATGTTTAATTTCGCTGAATTAAACATTTTATAATTGTTTAAATTAAGCCTGATAATTCAACAGTAAATAGTTAGTGTAAATTTACTCTAGATTCAGAGATCTGTTGCTTGTCTGAACTAAAGAGTAACACGCCATCTGACAGCTCTCTGTGGTTTCGTTGTTAAGTTAAAACATTGAATGAGACTTTAGACAGATACAATATTATGCAAGTAATTGAAGAGAATTTAAACAAACAACGAAATGATTTCTACAGTTTAAATAGAATACTAGAATGCAGTAAAAAAAACAAATAAGAAACAAAAATAAACATACAAATTAAACGTTTCAATTTAAAAGATTCCATCTATACTTGTGGATAAAATTATTCAAAAATAATAATAAATAGAAGACTAAAAATGTATCAAACGCCTGTCTAGATAGTGGTATGTTGACAAAGTTGGCTGCACAGACGGCAATGAACGGAGCGAACCTCTTCATTATTGGGTTGCCCCTCTGCATTTCAAATGTATTTATTCACAATTTCTCAATATAAAAGTCAAATCTATCATCGTGAAAACCAATCGCAGTCATTCACGTGGTATAAAAATTTTTAAGTGTCACAAAATTAAAAAAGCAATATAGGGATTATGCTGTTAGTTTTAATAGACATTATTACCATGGCAGTAATGTTAAACAATAAATCTAGGAAATTAAAAATATGATTGTAGAAACTGACTGAACGCAGAGATCCCCCGCCAATAATTTACTATTTCATATTATTATTGTTTTTGTTGGACATTTCAATTATAATCACATATTAGATATGAGCACATGGATTTTAATCTACGCTCATTATTTAAATGTTATGTTTGTTATGTTAATAACATGTGATGTGATTGGCTGGGATTTACATACACTGTGATTGGCTGGGATTTACATACGCTGTGTATTTGTCGTTGTAAAGAAAATCATACCTTTCCCATTATTTCCTTGAAGCCAAGAGCTGTTACCAACGCACAGGTTGTTGCACTAACATACGCAAAAGCAATCTGCCTATAAAATTAAATCAACAAGCCACATAAAGCCAACTTTAGAGTCATTCAGCTGGTAATGTTTAAAAAAACAAAATAATTTGTTAATACTATTAATTCAATTATTTTAAAAATTATTTAATCTTTTTTTTTCAATCAAGTAACAACATTTAAAAGAATGCACCAACTTGTTGGTGACTGTAGAAGCAGCATTCCTGTTTGTGTAGTTGACAAGGGCATTGAATGACTGGTTCAACCACTGCCAGAAGATCACGCTCGTGTTTGTTCTGTGAAATTTTAAAAAAATGTCTAACTCAGATTAATAATATTTTAATTATCACTTCAATTCAACTGTTATTATCATCAAATATGATTGAGGTACGGTTTTGAATGAAAACGAAACAACATCACAGGTTAATACCTGTCTTCAAAAACTTATCAGTGAAATGTATCATCAACAAAATTGTTATGTCTATTCTATGCAATAATAATTAAATAACTAAGTCATAAAAACGTCATAATAGACAGCGACTACCTCACAAAATTATATCGACAAACAAACATCATCGTGTGATTAACTTATAGGAGAAACAAGCAAACGTCATATTCATGTAATTTATTCAACAAACAACGTCATGACTCATTCATTGAATACCGTTATGACAACGTGACTCAGTCATCCAGTGACGACTGTCTTGTATTAATACAAAAAATTACAACAACACTATTCATGAAACAAACAAATTTGAAGACAAATTTGAAGGCTAACTTATAAAACTGTAACATTCCAGCAGTGAGAATCATCCCACCAGGAACTTGGAATGACATGCGTCCAATGACGTTCTGTAACTCACCAGAATCTGGATGAAAAGCTGACTCGTACAGTTTTTTGGCTCTCCATATTTGTTCATCTGTGGTCCCTGTTGGCTCTTGTTTTAATCTAAGTTTGAAGGGTTTAAAAGAAATGGGTGCAATTAGTTGTAAAAACAAACCTGAAAAATTAAGCAGATAATTTTAAAATTTTGGTACAATATAATAATAAAGATGTTATGAACAAAAAAGAAGAAACTTAGTGGGCATACTTGTACTGATTTAATAATTCTTTGGCACTGAGGAGAGTTCTATTGGATGTGAAGGCAGTTCTCATGTCAGTGATGGAAGCAAAATGACGAACCCTGCCAAGAAAAGTGGACTGATCCCATCTGGGCAGTGACAGATCGATCCTACCATCTTTCAACCTCGGTGATTCTTTCATCATTTATTTTTTTTAATCTCCTACAAGATCCCTAAAACAAAAATAAATATTATTCAGTTCATTTTTTAAAAAACGTTGAATTAATTTTACACACTTTAATTAAATAATTTGGTTTTAATAACAAACAAGATAAAATGCACGGGACGGGAGAAATAATTGATAATTGTATTAAATATTAACTAATATTAAAATTAGATGCAGCACGCGAAGCAAATTAACTCGTAACAGTGCAACGAAACATCAATCATAATGCAAAAACCAAACGATGACAATCAATATTAAAAAGTCGGGAACATCAATGAGATAATTTAAAACAAAATTAACTAAATTTTCTTCCGAGTAGCTTCATCAAACGACATGAAAAACGAACTGAAACGGTAAAGCGACCTTTCAACGCGTTACAAAATCCTCCAAAAAACAACTTCATCAGACGGAACAACCCACTTTTAACTTTCACATGCACGCGTTATATCATATATTACGTATGAAAGTATCTATCGTTCATCATTACATAGGTTGTATAAAGTATAAATGATTTAACAAGCTGTGCATGTAAAATAATACAGTACATTATATTATATGAACTTACAGTTGGCTTAGTGGCATCAATGTTATATATGGCATATGCCTATGCATATAGAATATATGCAGTGACAACGTTCATATCTCCTACCTGCTTCGTGGTGATGTGCCCGCCAGAATTCTTAAGTTTGAGAAAATGAAAATGAAATTTTACAGTTTTCGAGAAAACATTTTAAAAATTCACAAATTTTTTCATATTTTTACACTTTCTTTTTCTTAAATGTCTCTAAGAAGCTTTGAAGCATAACAATTTTTGTCGATGTTGACTGAAAGAAAGACTTTTTTACGATTATTTTTCTAACAAAAATCACTCAAATAAGTTCTTTCTAAATAAGATTTGAGATTGGATTTTATTTTTTAAATGAATAATGCTTGTAATGCTTGTTAATTCAATCCTTTTGTTATTTGAATTAATTAATATAAAATATTTATGATGGGAACCTGGCTGAACAAAACTAGTATTTATGCTTTCCTCAATCTTGTAAAACAACCTCTCACGAATCATTTCTTTTGAACGAACTTTAAGAAAATAAAATACTCGGGAAACATAAAAGTTTTAACAACACATCATTATTTAAAAAATGTCTTACAAATGCTTCACCGTGGCAGAATGTAGGAAAGTAAAATGTAGGAATGAATGAATATATATGTAATGTTATTTTGTTACCGCCATAGTTATAACAACTTACTTTCCGATTTACAAAATTTATTTTGTAAACCTTTGTTAGGTAATGAATGTTTGGATTTATTGAATAAAATTACCGAACTAAGCCTTAAAACCAGATTGTTAAAAATGCCACGACGAATTAAATTAGCCGTCATTACCGTTATGAATGGGGCGCTGTTGTAATAGATTTTAAGAATAAGAACTACGTAATTTCATTGGCGTGAGAGATCTTTGTAAGCATTTATCACTAAAGGCAAGGTATTTACGTAACAGAGGCGGATCGAAAAAAGGCATGGGCCATGTGAGCAGTAGGTAATTTTATTAAAGGTCCATTAAACTCAGTTTTTACACAGGAAAGACCATATTATGAAGAACAGAAAATCGACCAAAAATTGACGTGGTAGGCAAAACCAGATGAAATTTTGGCTACACTAACACAAATTAGGATAGCATCTTGGTCCTCGTAAAAGTCAAACAATTTCAAAATATTGGCCCACCCCGTCAAAATTGTCTAGATTAACACATGTATGAGTGAAAGTGTTTTCTAATAAATAAATAATTAAACACGCTATGGCTATCATATTCCAGTCTGTTAACAAATTTCGGACAACCGTTCAACTTTTTTTGGCTAATTTTTTCTATTAAAAATGTTTTTAAATATCTAAAAATAATCTAAAACTCGGTTTAAAAAACTACAACCGTAATTTCATACTGGTGAAAGCGTTTTCAGATGATTTAACCCACTATTCTTGCTATTCTGTATAGAATCAGGAAGACCATTGTAGACGAATTACAATAAACAAACCTAAAAAAAATTGATAAAGGTAACAATTACGAGAAGAATAGGATCATCAAGAAAAGCCAAAATTTTTTTAATTCTACGGAGATGTAGGTAGGAACCTTTAGCAACACTACTTATATATGAGAAGAAAGAGGTGCTAGAAGCAAAGTTAAAGCCTGGGCTACGAAACTTATGAAAAACATCAATAGTTTTAAAATCATGTATATATATATTTAAACAAAAATCCAAAAATGAATAAAAATGTTGTTTATGAACTGGACAAACTTAATAATAAACTGAAAATCGTTGTACGAAAAATTGAAAGACTCGATTGCAAATTGAACAATGCTTGCAATGCTGTGATTTATCTAAACAACTGCCTATCAGATAGTTTCAACCATATATATAGAATAAAATATCCCCAGTATACACATGTATATATATATATATATATTTATATTTATACAATTGTTTATAAAGATCACTGCGTTTTCGGCATTATTCAACTTGTAGTTGAGTTGAATAAAGCCGCTAATGCAGTGATCTTTATAAATAATTGTTTTTATGATAGACTAAACCAAATATATATATATATATATATTTTTACAATATTCTATAATTTCTACCGAATTCCGCAATCGCTCAGAATGCCTGGACTAAAGCTTGATGATTTTAAGAGGAACTTAAAAACATATTTATTTTGACATAGAAATACTTTATCGATTTGTACTTCATTGACCTTCACTGATTTCATTTATAATCGCTTTCGAGAAATTTCAATTTTATAATGCGCTTAATAAATTGTTGATAATAATGTGAACTCTCTTTTATTTCTAGAAAAATATGAAATATAGTAAAATGAGATAAAAGTCTAAATAAAATCTAATAAAATAAAATAAAATAGATAAATTGATTTAAATTAAATTAAATACAATAGTATTCTACGATGCTCATCATTTGAAATAAACGAGTACAACGAGATATGATTAGTTTTAAACGAACAGTTCAATTGTTATCGCGTTCACAGTAGATGGCATAAGATGACGGTATTACAGAGTTAATAAGGTTATTATAAAATTGATCTGACCAAATGTTATTGATTAATGATAAATTTAAAAAATTGCAAAAGCCCAATGTTGAAATTTCAAAAGTATTAATTTTTATTTTCAGGTGTATTGAATTGTCATGCAAATTATTTTTGAGATTTTCTGAGTATTTGATGGTTTTATATTTTTTTGAGTTGAGTAGGTTGGATTCATGGCAGACCGTCAGTTCTAATATTTCTATTGTGTCGTCACGAAGTATTGCGATGTCAGGACGTAGAGATTTGAAGAGACAAGACACTGGATGGATCCCATCATAGTCCACATCTTCATTCATTCATTCATTCATTCATTCATTCATTCATTCATTCATTCATTCATTCATTCATTCATTCATTCATTCATTCAATGATCCTTTGTAATTCCTTAAGGGACCGTTGAGGCCGATGGTATTCTTCTATCTCTTCAAAATCCTTTTCTTTCCCTCGCCATCTTCATTGAGCCCTATGTTCCAACCCCGTCCATTCCGTGATATCATCCATCCACTTCCTCACAGGTCTTCCAACTTTTTTCTTTCAGTCCCTCTTTCTCATCAGTGCTTTTTTGATCAGTCTGTCGTTTGTCATTCTGCAGATGTGCCCAAAGATACCCAGCTTTCTTTCCTTGACACTTTCATACACAGTTTTTTGTCTTCCAAGTTGTTTTCTTATGGCATCGTTTCTTATCTTTTGTATCCAACTGATTCCCAGCAACTTTCTATAACAATGCATCTCGAATGCTTCCAGTTTGTCTTTGTCTGTTTTCTTCAACGTCCAAGCCTCACATGCATACATCAATGTAGAAAACACACAAGATAGTCCACATCTGCATATGTCGAAACCTCTGGACCCACGTATGCTTTCAACCTTTCTATAATTATGTAAAAAAATTTTTTGTGACGCATTGTGAATCTTTTTAGTGCTGCCACCGAATTGCAATTAGACAGAACATGTTTGTTTGTTTGCCGCGCTTTGAACAATGGACAGTCAGCCGTTGATGATTTGCCCCATCTGAACAAATTTGTATTTGTGGGGAGTTGTTGGATGAGACTTCTCCTAACAAATTTGAACAGTACTTCTGGGAGGTTTGTAGTGAATTTTGACCAGTGAGCTATTCTAGCTGTGGGAATCTGGTCTTTGATCACTTTTAAAATTGTCCCTTGGCAACGGAGTAGCGATAGATGTTCGAGTTCTGCATTTTGTTGTTTGATCGTTAACATGCTGAGTGCCGGTTTTATGTCCTTTGAGTCAGGAAGCAAATTGTCGATTTTAATAATTTTTATAATAATAATAATACATATAAATATATATAGAAATAAATAAATAAATATATATATATGCGAGTCACATATACAGAATAAATGTATTTACACGTGATTCATAATCAAAGATTAGACACATTACCTTTCTCTTAATCAGAAATTTGTATCTGACTAAAAATTGAACGGTGTGCAGTGTTGTAGCTACTCTATGCTCAGTTAGCATTTGCATACATGTTTAAATGTAGTTAACTAGGCAACTGTTCTCAATAAATAACTAATTTAATATATACTTCTTACTAACGGACATTATAAATACATTTATTGTTATTATATCTAATTACAGGTTAATATATACTTATATGTGTCAACGTGGGATACAATATATTATATTATATTCAGTTTATATTCAGTTATATGCGTGTGCATTTACGCAGAAATGTTTAAATAGAAAGGAAGATAACAGGAATGAAAAAGATTGTGCGCTTCATCATTTATAATTGTAAGAGCTTAACGCGTTTTACGAGACTTGGCATTATTAAAGAGCCTTTGTTTAGATAGAAGGAGCTCGTCGGCTGGCTGATTGAGAGAGAGAGAGAGGTGAAATAAAAAGTGAATTAAAAATTAAAATAAATAAGTATTTATTTATTTAGATTGGTCGGTTTGTTGCTTATTTTATTATTTGAGACTTGTCTGTCTTAAATTTTTTCTTCAACTCACTGTTTGTTTTCGTTGCACACTTCAAATTTATCATTGCAACTTGCCTGGGAAGAAAATTTCTGCAAATTGAATCATTAAATGTCCGCCCTTCGTTGATGACTTCAACACTTTTGTTTGTTGAATGAAGGTCAGAGAACGGTCTCGCCTGGAAAGAAATTGAATTCTATGTTTGGAGGAGAGGAACTGATTTGATTGTTCATCAGACACTGAACTGAAGAGTGCCTGGTTTTCAATGTGAGTTGGTTCACTATTTTTATGTTTTTTTTGGCTCTGAATTTTAAAATTTGTTTATTTTTATTTGAATTTCAGTTTGGTTAATGTGGTGATAATGCTTGAGTGTGACTAATGCAAAAAGCAAAGAGATCTGTATGCGTTTCTTGTGCAATTAAGTTTTTTTTAAAACCACCAGATAGTCACTGAAGAAGTAGAACAAACATAACAAAAGATTTCAAAATGGATGGATCACTCATTTATAGTTCTAAAATGTGCCAACCACAACCACACATTTTGCCTTACCACATCTACCACAATGAAATTCCTTCGTACAATAACGTCCATGATAATTATTCAGCCGTTCTTGCTTCAAGATCATTATCATCATCTCGATCAAGTTCTTCAAGGTCGTCAGCACAACCATCTCCCGAAGCCAAATCTGAGGATGACTGTCCCATTGGTTATGGTGCTTTTGGAGTTGTATGGTTAGTTTTTTAATAAACTCACATTTTTTTCATTTTTAAAAAGATCAATTTTTTCTAACAAAATTTACAAATGAAATAATTTTAATGCAACATTTTTAGATCTAGCTTAATTTGCATTTTTATTCACTGACTTAATTTGTTGCAACACAGGGCTGTGACAGATCCAAGAACTAACAAGAGGGTAGCGCTAAAGAAGATCTCCAACATATTCCAGAGTGTCGTCTCGTGCAGAAGGGTTTACAGGGAACTCACCATGCTCACTGACTTCAAACATGATAATGTTAGTTGCTTTGTACTGTTACTCTCTTATTTTATTTCTTATTAATAAAAATTGAGGTCACATCTTGCTCATCAGCACAGTGTATATCTATACATACATCTTGCTTATCAAGTCTTTTAATTTTTTGTTTATTGGTTTTATTCGGGAGTTTAAAATGAAAAAGTTAATAAGAATAAATAGTTCAAGTAGTTTCTATGTTTGATATCTTACTTAGAAAGGTACCAAATCATGTTGTTATATCCCAACATAAATTTTCCCATGCTACCTGATTTCTTTTATCATAATAGTCATAATGTATGTAAAAACTCTAGTTATTTAATTGCTTTGTTGTGTTGTTTTAGTGTTCTTACTGTCTGTGCTATGTATTGAAGCCATAATATTTTAGTTTACACTCTTCCAAGTTTCAAATATTGATTGAGGCTGTCTTCTTGTGTGCTATGAAGCTTTCTATTTATATTTTATTTTCATCATTTTTGTGGGAGTAGTTACAATATTCTGAGAAATAGAATTAATTCATGATTGGTGTCAGTTGTGAGATGTTGGTTGGTGAGATAATTTCTCAAAAGATAATTTCTTATTTATCCCTGTGTGTGTGTGTGTGTATGTATGTGTGTGTGTGTGTGTGTGTGTGTGCACACTGTACATGCTAGCAGATTTTATAAGTGCATTCATTATTTATAATAATAATATAATAATTAGTGTTAAGCTAATATTATTTATCCTGTTATTGTTGTGGTTGATTTTAATTTTCTGTTGAATTGTCATGATCATTCTTATCATTAATTTCACATTGTTATTCATTTCTTGTTATTAATTTTATTATTGTCAGCCTTTCAATAATTCTTGTTTGAAGTCATCTAGCTGCATTCATTACTTTAAGCAAACACATTCTTATCAAGAAAGTCACAATAAAAATTGAACTTTCTCTCCAGTATATACATTTACTGCCTATGTATATGTGTATATTCATCAAATGAATTGAAATTATGAGAGGTTGAATTGTACTGAAATGGCAACTGATGAATGAATAGGATGCAGTCAGGCCAATCACATTAAGGACTATATGTATTAATAACTACATTGCATCAACAACTAACACTAACAACTAGATAACTTTAACAGTTATAAACTCATTTATTAATCATTACTACATTACATCAATAAGCTAAATCATACAAGCATTTTCACTTGTGTTATAAACATAAACATTATAAACACTATAACAACAGCCAACATGAATACTACACTAAACAAACAAGCGGTCAAACAACAAACATTTAAGAAAAATTAAATTTCTAAAATCCATGCTGATGGCAGGCAAGCCTCTCAGATCATTATTTTAAACCTTGTTATGCATATAGACTCATTATTGTAATTGAAGAACAATGTTTCGTTGTTCTCTACTCTTATGTTGATCATGGCTAAACAAATTTGTACTGATTTAATTATTATTTAAAGACATATAAACCTACCCAACACCTGCCTTTATTTAGTGCTTAATTGTTAATAAAAATGTTTTAAAAAAACTTTGCAGTCAAAGTTAATTTTATTGTGTTACAACTTCATATAACTCTTTCTATGTTTAAAAAGTATAATTTGTTCTTCTATGCCATTTTTTGTAATCACCACAATCTTTACCGAAAAACATCACGCTATTTAACATCACATAAAGGCTCATTTAACGAAGGATATTGCACACAGAAGTAGAAGAACTGAATTATTGGCTCTCAACGCACATGAAGTTATATCTTAATTTATTCTAATCCCTAAACTCAGTTGATTTAAACTAACCTCTGTTGTTGCTGTGATATGCATGCAGCCATCATAATCTATAATAACATCACTTCAAAGAAACATTACACACAAAGAGATATTAGAATGCATTAGACCAATAAATATACATTAATCAGAGAAACATATTTACTTTAACTAAATACAAATGCTCACCGAAGGCTGAATAAAACGACATCATACTATTATTATAATAATTGTATTTGAAATATTGATATAACTTTTGCATCTATATTTATAGATGCAAATATTATATCATTATTTTTGTATTCGTATGTGTGTTTGTCTGAAATGCTGACAAAAAAACATGCTGCAAGTAGACAAACACGCGCGCACAGTAAACACAAACACACACACACACATACACACAAGCGATCATACAGACAGGAAAGTTTTATTAAAATTAGTTCTTTGTTACATGCCTAGTTAGTAGCAGAAGCTTTCTCAATCTATAGTTTATGTAAAAATTATGCATCCACAAATATAAACATGCACACATGTGCATGCTTTGAACATTTATTTATACTTGTGACCATAGTATGTGTTTTGTAATATATACCATGTTGGCAGTAACATATTTAATGTATCATCTCCCTAACAGGGCATTTGTATTCGTTTGTATTTTATTTTTTGTTTGTATTTTATTTTTTGTGCGCTCTGTTTCTCTCTCACTCTCTTTTCTCTCTTCTCTCATTTTTTATCTATGTTTTTGTGTATGTGTGTGTATATATGTTTGTGTGTATGTGTGTGCGTGTATGTCGTTACTAATAATACTAAAGCAATCAGTGTGACAGACAACTATGAAATTGTTTAAGAAAATGATGATGTAAAGTTATTTTTGTTGGTTATTTACAAGAAAGAATTGAGATACAATTATCCCTACCAGCTAGACTGATAGCAGCTATGGAAATAAAATTATTGATGGTTGATGATAAATGATGATGATGTTAGTTAATTTTAGTTTTATGCTAGAAATTTAATTGCACTTGACAGATAAATATGATTACAGTTTATTATTATTATTGTTAGATCTATTTTAAATAATGTGCTAATGACGTAATATTAATAATAATAGAAATAATAGAAATAATAATAAAAAAAATAATAAAAATAATAATACTGAGGTGGAATCATGTATTTGATTTAATACCAGCAATATTGTCCTCCAGTACAGTTATAATGGTATGCATCTATTTACTGATGTGAACTAAAAATGTTTCTGAAACTTCATCACAAATGTGAACTTATGTTGAGAAAGAATAAAAAAAAATTTGCACACTTCTGCCATCTATCTATCAATCTACTCAAAGGCATATAAACAAATCCTACAGTTTGCAGATTTGTATATCAGATCTCTTTATACTTATCCTAGCAGGCACCATCATTCAATATTACTTCATTTTTTGCTTGTAGCATAGTTGAAGTGCTGCATGTTTGTTATATTATTATTAGAAAGCCTTGAACTATATATGCATGCATGCATGTTTGTGTGTGTTATTGCATGGGTATGTATGTTGTATTTACTTTCCACTTATGAATTCTCAGTTACTGATCAATTAGATATGCCAATCCAGCTTCTAATCACTCTTCATCACTTGCTACCCTGCATATGTTAAATATTCTGTTATTGGATGATTGCTTATGTATGATTGTTTGAATTTGAAAAAAAGAGTTTAAAGCAAGGGAGTTTATGCTAGCTGAATATGTTGACATGGTTTTTATTTAATTTATTTACTTGCACTGTTTTACTAAATTGTGTTTTCAATTCTTGTTATTGGTGTTTATCTCAAAATAACTTATTTTATATTCTCCCATAGGCTAAGCTGCTTAGTCAAGTTATTGAGGTATATTTATCTATAAGGTCATTCTTAAAACAATTTAAAAGAATTTTCTTCCTTGTAGAATATGTTATCTTCTGTAGATAAATTGTGTTTCTCACTGTAGCAAGTAGCTCGGGGATGAATGAATAAATAAATGTCTGCTATACACATTCACCAATCTCCATTCTACAAGATATTTTAATTGATGTCTGTTGTTCTTGTTGTCTCTTATACTATTTGTTGTCTATTCGCTTCTTTTTCATTGTTATATCATGTTTAATAATATAATATTTCTTGCTCATTGTTATATTTTGTTGTATGGCCTAATGTTACTATGGCCAAACTGATGAATTGGTTTTGTTAGCAAGAATATTCTTCCCAGCAGATGGCTATGAATTGTTTTTTTTTATGAATAGTTAGTTAGAACTGAAGCATATAAATGAATTATTTAGTTATATTATTTTATGCATTTTATATAATTCATAATACAAGGAGCTAAACATTTCCTTTGTTTCATATTATACATATACTACTAACACGAATCTTATATGCTCACTAACTTCCTTCTCTTTCTCTTTCTTTTTCTTTCTCTCTTTCACACACACACACACAACATATGCACACACACACACAACATGCAACATATGCCCACATTTGTATGGTGTAGCATAATGACAACAAGCTGATGACAATTCTCAAAACTATAAAAAATTTGGAGCTTATACAAAAATTATTCCTATACTCTAATTTTTTTTTCTCCTCCCATCTCTCCATCTTTCCCTCTCTTTTTGTCATTTTACATTCTTCTAAACTTTCAAAAAAATGTCATACTTTCACCTGTGATATTTATGTTTCTTTTTTAAATACATTTTAGTTGTTGCTATTTTTGTAGCATACTTCATTCTATTGCATGTATGTATGTATATATGTATGTATATATGTATTTGTTTGTTTGTCTGTTTTATTGTTTAACTGTTTGTGGTAGTATATGTGTATGGCTTTTGAATGCATGAGTTTTTGAATGGTAGTGTGTTTACAAAAGCCCCGTTAATCATAATGATGATTATGCCTCTGTGTTCAGTTTGGTAGTTATTTTTAATGTCTCAAGTCTAATATATTTTTAATGCTAATCATCTTACTGTTAATTTGTTGGTGATTACATTTGATGATGGTGATGACGATTTGAATGATGATAATAATAAGAAGAATGATTATAAGGATTTTCATCAATATCATTTTTTACATTAGAAATGAGTTTATGGGATTGATGTTTGTGTTGATAGTATGTGTCTGGCTAGCATAAAAATCAATTTATCGTTCTACATTTTGTTTTTGTTACTAACGTTGTTATTATTATTATTTATTGTTATTTTTATTACTACCATTACC